AAAATAGATTAACTAATATAATTTAATACCTTTAAATGTAGATACGTGGACAACAAAATTGAAAGCACTTGTAAAACATTTTTAATATAAAATTCAATGTTATATTTCTGTAAGTATGTCAAATAAAATTTATAGATAATATAAATAATTTATTGATTTCAATACAATAAAATAGATTAACTAATATAATTTAATACTTTTAAAAGTAGATACGTGGACAAAAAAATTGGAAGCACTTGTAAATGATTTCAACAAAAAAATTACAGCCCATACAAGTATTCAACAACTCTCTCAATACACTAACAAAAACTATGAAAACTTCTCTTGCATCTCGCATCCCTTCCCATCAAAACTCATCCACGATATAAATACCAAGCTCTCTCAACACACTAACAAAATCTTGTGCAGTTCCGAACATCCCCTATCTTAATATCTATTAATGCTTTAGAATGAAGATGAAATCAGCAAGTGCTGCATTTGAGAATTCCTTCGTATCGATGCTTGTTCTAACAAAAGAAAGTTACTGATAGAAAAAGACTTATGACTATATCAAATAGATCAAATAGAAAAAAGCAAGATCTATGCTACATGCTACTACTAAAATGACCTGCGAACTAAAAGTGTAAATATAGTTATTTAATTTAATAAATTTAATCATGCTACTTGTTATTGAGTTAAGCTAATCTGGATTCGTTCTGAATTAGGTTTCGAACCCATCTGAAATTGATTATGAGATCTGTAGATATGTCAAGTCGATTGAGGTGTAGCTTCTCACTGCTGAGTCAAGCAACCACCATTAATCTTTAAAAGAGCTTTCGAATCGAGTATCTTTCATCATGAAGTCGAAACTTGCTTCTGAAGCTGCAAAAATTATGCATGTAAAAAATGATAAATGTAATGCTCTTAAGTATGTCTAAGATGCATGCAATATGAATTAGCCTTAGACGGAGTCTCGTGCTTTGTCTACCGATCTTGATCCTTGGAATCGATCATGCCCCATTTTTTTCTCGGGTTGCAGCCTTTCACATTTGAGACTGTCCTATTTAAAAATGTTTTTTCCTTTCTCTTATTTAGAAGGGAAAAAATATGAAGAAGAAGAATTATGTAAAACATTGCCCTTTAATTCAGGCTCGCAATCAAATCGAATCAAATCATAAACATGAGTTCAAAGAATATCAAAGGAATCAATAGCTCGTTTAATGCTTTCAGATTTATAGCTCTTTGACAAATATTTAAGTGTATGAGTTGCCTTTAGGTTGACCTAAGGTTTCAGCCATAAAAAAAATGTCATTTTTTTGTTATTGCAACTTGCTTTTTCTTTGGCTTGGCATTTTAATTGGATGCGGACAAAATGATGCAACTAGCATTATCAATTACTAGACCTTCTATTTCGGTTCTCTAAAATCTTCCATTTGTTCAAGTTTTGTAAGCTCCTCTAACAAATGTAGTGCAGAAATATCGGTCTAAAAATGGAATTCTTGAGTGCTCATGTGAATTTGACTATAACAGGTGTTCCTTAACTCCCTTAGTCTATTTTTACCAAAACTCCTTATTTAGATAAATTTGATTTAATTTTCCATTGTCTGGCTAGCTGAATCCATAAAGTCAGGGCGTTTAACCAATTGTTCTATAGGGACAACTCAATATATAAACACCTTTATCAGGTTAGCTGAATCTTATCTATAAAGTCGGGGCGTTTAACCAATTGCCTTAGAGGGATAGCTCAAGCTTTATTGTATATATATTATAATAACCTTTATCAGGCTAGCTTAATCTTATCCATAAAGCCGGAGCGTTTAACCAATTGCTCTAGAGGGATAGTTCAAACTTTATTGCATATATATAATATTATAATCTGGGTATACGGATCCAATTTCTTAAGTTTGTCAAGATGAACCTGTTATAGTCTAGGTGATGTTGAAAGTCAAGGAATCTCATATTTAGAGTTCAATTTCCAAGCAACTGACCTAAACTAGATTCACCTACTCGACTATTCCATCCATGAAGATCATTATCATCACTGAACGTCTTAAACAAAAAGTATAGAAATGTCATATGTAAAAGATGCCCCATGTTGTCCGTACCTATGAACATCTAAATACCAAGCCTCTTTTCATTCTTTTATGAGAGGAGAAGGCTATATTGGTTCTTGTAAGGGAAATGTATAGTGTTCGAGCCTTTCGGGGTAAAGTCCTTATTTTGTTACTTTGTCAAAGATCTGTAACTCTGAATCATTTACATAATATTTTAATACAGCTGATATTCAAAGAATTGTAAGTTTACAAATTTGATTCGTTGCTCGTCATCTTTAAAGTAACATAAATTTATTCAAATGTCTTTACAAAAAACTTGAGAAAAGATGAAAAAAAAACAAATTCAAACAAAATGCCTCAAATGATGAAATGATCTTCCTCACTTGGATGCCCCGAAGTTGTTGAAGTCGATCCAGTTCTGGTTACGCATCTTCTGCACGATTCTCTTGAATGCGTAACAATTATCAATGGTGTGCCCTGGGACGCCGCCGTAATATTCACAATGAGCATTCTCATCATACCACTTGGGGTATGGGGGTTTCATGGGTTCCACCGGATATGGTGACACTACGTGGGTGTTAAGAAGTTGCCGGTAAAGTTCTATGTAGGTCATGGAAACAAGGTCAAAATGTTCCCTTTCCTTCCGGGGTTCTCTGAAATCTTGTTTAGAAATACCTGATGGTACAGTTGCAGTTGATTTTGGGCTGGAGATTGTAACAACTTTATTGACGTGGTGGACGTTGTTAATTTCTCCATCCCTCTCCCTCATAGGAGGTTTCTTACTGGCCTCCCCATCCTTAATCTTGTCTTTTTTATGGCCGACGCCATCATTTCTCCAGCCATAACTAAGTCTGAGAAGCTTCCTGATGTGATTGCAACCAGGTGTCGGAAGTGTGGAACCTTCAGGGTTTGTACAAAAAGCTTCTGGATTTCTTTCTCATCCAAGAGCGGATGAACTTGTATAGCCAAATCCCTCCATTTTTGTGTGTATTACCTAAAACTCTCGTTATGCTTCTTTTTCATGCTTTTTAGCATAACTCGATCTGGCCTCATGTCCTTAACATGCTTGTATTGTTCTAGAAATGGGTTAGCTAAGTCCTTCCAAGTCTTGATATGGGATCAGATTAGTTGGTTGTACCATCGGATGGCTGAGCCCGACAGACTCTCCTGGAAGCAATGTATCAGGAGTTGCTTGTTTCCTCCATATTCTGTCATCTTTCGGCAGAACATGGTGATGTGAGTGGATGGGCAACTATTTCCATTGAACTTCTCGAATTCTGGGGACTTAAATTTTGGAGGAAGAACCAAGTCTAGGACTAGACTGAGTTCCGTGGCATTGACTCCATGGTAGTCATGGTCTCCTTTAACTACCTTCATTTGGTCCTCCAATTGCTTGATTTTCTCCTCCATCTTCTTTGATTTGTCCTCTTCGTCCGAATCCGGTATATGGTAATAACCCAAATTATTCTTAGGGTTAAATACAGTGGACGAGGGCTTTGCTTTTGCAGCAGATGAGTCCCCTCAAAGTTCTGGTAAGATTTCAGGTGAGACAACCACTTGCGGGATAGGTGGTATAGTTACCCCTTCCGATGAACCTACCCCAGGTGCACTCGTTTGATGTAGACTAGATAACTTGGCCATAATTTGATCGAACAAGGACTCTTGGCTCTTTGCGATTGCAGCCAGAGCACTTCGACTGCTCTGGTTTATCTTGTCTTCCAACTCTCTTTGGAGCTTCAACATTTTCTCCTCGATCTGAGCAATTCTGGCTTCCATCTTCTTCTTTTTCAAGCGGGTGTTATGCGGATGGGGTATGTCCAACGCTTGAGGTGGTGTATCCAGTATTTATTCCTTTCCGATGAGACATTCTTCCGTTAGTTAATGCGAATGAAAAGAAAATAACAAAATGCAAAATATGTTTAAATGCATAATTCATGCAATGTTCGAGGCATTGATCCAAAAAATGTGTCTATTATTATAAATAATCCTTATTGGGGGAAAAAAGTGTTACATCTTTAAGAGACAAAAAACATTTTGATGGTATTGATCTCGAACAGCCTCTGACAAGTTGATTCGTCTTCCGTCTTTTTTCTGTCATCGGTTGAATACCCTGTCGAACCGCTCTGGCTCCTTTGGGTAAACTATGCAAGTGACGAGCTACTTGCCCCAAAAAAGTCTTGAAGGACTGCATCTCCGGCTTTCACTCTCTGTTGAGTATGTTCCCTAGCGGAAACACCTTTGGAAGCCTCCATTGAAAAGAACTATCTAAAACTTATGATCTCTATCTCGCATGCTAATTTCAAACAAATTCTAACAAAATATTTGTCTAGTTCGCATGCTTTGAACAAAAAATAAAGCAGAAAATAATTAAGGTATCCTAGGGTTTGAAATTAGGTTTTGGGGTGAGCTTTAATTCCCTGTATTCTCCCGGTTTAAGTTCTAAAGAAGGTACCCGAGTTCAGCTTGCCAGACCCTTAGTCCTAAGCCCATTACAAGCTTATGTGGACTAAGTTAAACTCGGGATGATACATTCCCTTATGCCTATGCGGTGAATAAATTCACTCGAAGACATAAAGTATATGAATCCCGAAGGTTACTTGCTAGGCCTGTGCGGAGAATAAATTATCACGAAGACGTCGCTTTCACCTCCACTTAAAAAGGTTTCAGAGCTCGGGTATAGAGTCAGAGATAGAAACTTTTCAAACATCTGAAATCATTGAAAAAATGTCAGTACAACTATTTATTTGAAAAATAATCAAACGTAAATAATTGGAATCGAATAAATAAATTTAAATTTAAATTTAAATTTACTATTTTCGCATAAAAAGGAAACCGAAAATTAATTATGGCCTGACTCACTTACATGTACCCAACAGAGTAGCCAAGATGTCGCGGCCGTCTTTCAGTTGGGCCCGAAATTGAGTTTTGACTTAAATAAAATTGGGTTAGAGTCGCCACCGATCATTTTAAATCGAATTTTAGGTAGATCGAACACCATCTTACCTGATCTGCGTTTTACGAGAAATATGTCGGGTTCGGGAGTCGGTTACGGTCAAGGAAGGATTAGCACCCTTGAACCGCTCTTTCGGTACCATTTAATTTGTCGGTTGTCTTAATTGCAAAAATTAAAACTTAAATTGAAATTTAAAAAATCAAACTCGAATTAATTATCTTTGATCGATTGAAAGTATCCGTAAAAAGTAAAAAATGTTAGTTTGTAAAAAAATATACATATATGAAAAAAGAATAAAAATATATTAATATAATAATGATAATAAAATAAATGAAAAAAATAAAAAAAAAATAAAAGTAAAAGGTAAAAGTAAAAGAAATAAAAAAAATTAAAAACTAAAAAAAATGAAAGAAAAAAATAGTTAAATTGAAAAACATGAAATAAAAACCTAAAAAAAGATTATCTAAATAAAAAGAAAGACTAAAAATAACAAATATTTAACAAATTAAAAAAAGAATAAAAATAAATAAAAAATAAAAGAAAAGAAAAAAATTAAAGAGAAAAGCGAAATTAACAAAAAAATAATTAGCATGATAACTAATCATGAAAAAAAGAATTAATCAACTAACAAGTTATTTAATAATTTATTAAGGAAAAAAATAAGACAACAATTAAAATATTTATTACCATAAAAAATTAATCATGTCAATTAATAATCCAATTAAGGCAAAAAACCTAATTAGATTAATTAATACCATAATCAAATAACTTTTTATGACATTAATTATCTAACTTAAAAATCAAATTGACAAATTATTAAAAAAATTATTAATCAATTAAGAAAATTAAGACCGTACAAAAAACTCTAATCATGCCAATTAATACCCCAATCAAGCCAATTAACATCTTAATACCATAATGAAATTTTTAATTAAAATATGGAATTAAACTATGACAATTAAGCATTTAAAGGCCACATTTAATCTAGTTAAATTAATTAGGGATTAAAAGGCATAAAATCAGAATTATAAACTCTATTTCAATGATTTTCATGGAGGAGGACTTAATGAAAAGAACTTAAAGGAGGAAGGACCACACTTGATATTTACCCAAAAATAAAAGAAGGCACATGTCATAGATGCCAAACAGGCTTGGCACTTTAGGTATTATTTTTTAACCAAGCTCACTCTTCCCGTCTGTCAAGCTATTTTGCGCAAGGGAGGAAGAAAACACAAGAAATTTACCTTCGATTTTGGATGATCTACCTGTCAGATTGGGACAAAATCGGAGTATGTTAGCTTGCTCGTGATTGGCGTGCTTCAAATCTTCGGATTTTCAAGAATAGTTTTCGATCATCGTGAATCCAAACGGTAAGTTTTCGGGTTACCCTTTGTTTCTTCTTCGCCTCTTCGCTTTCTCAGGCTAAGATTTGCTCTTCTCTTATAGTAGGTTTTGATCGAGTTCATCTCCTCCTCTTTTTTCTGTGTATTTTCGTGTGTATTTTCGTATGTATTTTTTTGCCTTGCTTCGAATCCCCCATCGTATATCCCGTATGTAACCTCTCTGTTCGTATGATTTCTCTACAGTATTTCTCAATGATTTTCCCTCCATCTCGTGTATGTTCCCCCTTCGAATTTATAGTAGCAAAAACCTATCTCCGTGTAGTTTTAGAACTCTAACGAGACTGAAATCAAAAACCTATCTCCGTGTAGTTTCAGAACTCTAACGAGACTGAAATGCTTGTTGGTTGTTGCCGAGGAAACCAACCAAAAAACTTGGGGGTTAGTTGAAGGGCTAGAACGTGCGGCTGTGGGGAGTCCTCATTGAAGGGGAGAATAGCGTTGGGGTGTTGCAGCGCAGAAGAGAATGCTAGGGTTCTGGAAACCCTAGCCTGCTAGTCTAGGTCGGGCGCACGTAGACCCAGTTTGGGTTACTGGATGGGTTCACGGGCCCATGTCACTTATTTGGGTTACTTGTTTGTGTTGTGTGGTGATGGGTCACCCTTTGTAACACATTGGGCTTAGGCCTGCAAGACAAATGAGAACCATAATAAATATAGATGTATATCTAATATGATTTATAATGTAAATATATATATATATATATATATAATAATATAAAAAAAGGAAAAGAAATCTGGATGAAAATGAGTGTTCACATGTACCATTTTTATTTTTCAATTATATTTTGTTGACTAATTTTACTAGACTTGATGGTGCTTTTATCAAAAATTATGTATATGTTTATGCTCCTAACAAGTAGTATCAAAGTCTCGTCATGTTATATCATTAAGAATCAATTGTTTTTAAAATTGATGTTTTATAGAATTAAAATTATTGTATAAAAATTTTAGTACAATTCTTATAATTGTGATCGCATGATATATAGGGTTTTTTTCTTATGTGGTTGATAATTTTAATTTACCATTATCGGTAGATTAAGTATTGGCTTCGATATTGTTTAATTGAATTATGAAAACTATGATGTATTTGTTTGAAACTAAAAATATATTTTGTGACTATCAGTATTGTCACACCAAGTATTATTTCAGTGATCAAATGTTCGACACTATTATTAATAGAATTGTATTGATTTTGTTGGACTTTAAAATTTATTTTGGGACCAACAATATTGTCACACTAAGTATTATTTTAGTGACCAAATGTTCAACAGTATTATCGATAGAAATTGTGATGAATTTATTTGACACAAAAAATATATTTTGTAACCATAAATGTTAATGCAATAAGAGTTTTTCAATGATCAAATGTTCGACACTATTATCAATAGAAACAATGAATTTTTTTGATACTGAAATATGTGGCCATAAATATTGTCACACTAAGAATTTTAATGAGCAAACGTTTAACACGATAAACATTAGAAACTATGATAACTTTTATCTCTAAAAAATATTTACCATTATAATAATTACCAATTATGGTAAATTAAATAATCATAACAATTCTTTAAATTATGATATTTTTATAATAAAAATTACAATTATAAAAAAATATTATTATTTTATTGTGATGAGTATGTTGTTCCTAAATAATAATTTAAATAATAATCTGAATTATTTTTTATTAAATGATTACAAAGTAGTATTTACTTTAAATACTCTCAATTATTCGATAATGAACGCTCAATCACTCTGCTGCAGTACCTAATGCTCGAACTCATGACCTATAGGAACAAAAATAATATTTTTAGCCACTGAGGTAAGATAGTTGGTGCTAACAATCTAAATTGGAACTTATCATATTGGAACAACGAGATCACCCTCCACTACAGCAACCATCTTAGATTGTAAATATTTTTTCCTGCCAAACTACATTTTTCATATTTTCATTTTTTTAAAGGAATAATAAATTCGAGAAAAAATAAGTAAAATATAGTTAGAGTTAGGGCAATTTTTATAATAGATAATAAATCCATCGTTCTAGTTATATATATATATTTAAAAATTATTTAAAAGAACTAGTCGTTCCAAAAGACAAGTTCCTAAAAAATTTCACTGAAACTCATTTTATTGGTACAAAAATTCTTTTTAAAGAATATTTTTTTTACTAGAATTCATCTTACTAAAACAATAAATTTTGATCTCATAAATCATTTAGTTAAAAAAAATGATAATTATACCAGAAGTTTACAATCATACTATATTCAATTAAGGTAAACAATTTGTTAATATGTACTAACCAACTTATTTCAGTAGTTAAAGGAATCGTTATTATTCTTAGAGGTTACGAATTCGATAACCAACATCTACAACAGGATAATTAAGCATTTATTCTCAAATAATTAAGATTATTTATAACATATATTATTTTATAACTACCTTAGCTTAATAAAAAAATAAATTGTTAATATAAATTTTTTACTTGATTAAATACTTATCCTTACCAAAATAGAAAATAAGATTTAAAATTCAGTAATAATCTCATTTAATTATTCAGGATTATTTTGTTTTGTTGCCTTCCCGTTCTAAGGTTTTACCTTGATTAATCTAGATCGACTTGAGTTGTATACCGAACTTTGGTTGGTGAATATCTCAACAGAGATTTTCTACATACACAGATTTTATCATAAAACCTTAATTAAGCGATATTAAGTTGTTTACTACTTGAACTAATCCGTTGATATAATTTAATTAATAATGAAAGTTATGTATTTGTAATTAACGAAATTTAAGTGACTTTGGTAACAAAATTCTAGAACCAGAAAAAGAAAAAGATTGGACAACCTAAAAGAATGTGGCAATGACTCTTGGAAAGGGTAGGATGGTCATTTACTTCCAGAACAAGATGAACTTTATACCCCGCCGCCCTCTTTCCACCCATGGTGATTCTACACGTGAACGTTTTGGATTTCATCACCCATCCCTATTCAACGGCTACGAATCAGTCTACCAAGAAAGGGCTATCGCACTCACGACAACCTTTCCTCGTTGAACCCCATGAAAGATCCTCCCTTTTCCCCTAATCATTAACTGTCTCTCGGCCGTCCGATCACGAAACGGTTCCCAGCCATAAAATTTGACCCTTGGCATTGGCATTGGCAATGGCAAACTATGGGTCAATTAAGGGCTACTTTTCGTAGCGCTCAATTATTTTTAGGATCGACTTCATATTTAGTTCTCTAACAATCGTGTTGATTATGTTTTAGTCATCTAATTATTATTTATTTTAGAAGTATACTTAAATTTATGTTTTAGTCACTCATTTTAAAAAAAATTAATGTGATACTGACATGTTACTATAACGTAATGTTATGTCATCATGAAAAAGATAAAAAAAAATTATGTTATTATTGAAAAAATTGTCATGTAAATATTTATGTTTATTTTTTTAACGACGTGTGATCAAAATAAAACCAAAATATAATATCAGGCATGATTTTGAAAGGCATAATGTCAAAATTAGCCTCTAACATTTACCAAAATGATCATTTTGGCACATATCAATTTTTATAACATTTTAAACCTAACTTTATATTTTAGGGCAGAAAGACCTATAACGTTTGATTGAGTAGTCACTTTGACCCTTATTTTTTAAAAGCATTTTAGCCATCAATATTTCATTTTAGAGTAAAAAAACCTATTTTAAAGAGTTCATCATTTGTTAACAAACAATTTCCATGCATAGAAGAGCTTTTTTGCCCCCATAATGAAACTAGGGATGGAAACATGTAGGTTTAGGGTCAAGTTTTTAGTCAACTCGAACCGACTCAAAAAAATATTATCCTCCACTCAAACCTGACCTGAAAATTATATCTCCTTCACTTGACCCGACCCAAAATATATATATCATTCATCCGACTTCGACTCGACCTGAATTATTGAGTATAAATCTGACCCGACCTGACCCAACCCAACCTGATATAAAAAGGTAAATTGAAATTTTATCCCTAAACTACTATAGATTTATAAAAAGATCCATAATTAGTATTTTATATAAATTTCAAAGGTTAAAATAAAATTAAATCACTTTATTAACGTGTTATATCAACAATCTGTTAAATGTCTACGTCAGTTAACTTAAGTGACCTTATCTTAATTAAATAAAAAGAAAAGTGATTAAAAATTATGCTTTTTGAAATCAATGAAGAAAAATGGACAAAACATAAATGAAAGTGATCATCCGTATAATTAACCCTTAAAAATTAATAATTTTTTAAAGTAATCCCATTATTATCCTCAAGTCGGGTCGGATCAGAGTTTTTTCACCTTTCACCCAAAACCGACCGGACATCACCCTTTAAAAAATATGAACCGACCCGACCCAAATCCAATTTTAAAAATACCCGACCCTATCGGATCGGGTCAGAACCCGTCGAATTCATGTTAAATTACCATCCCTAAATGAAACGTTATATGCCAAAATACTCAAAAAAATAAGTGTAAAAATGATTATTCAAGTAAATATTGGGGGCTAATTTTGGTATTATACTATTTTGAAAAGAATAATTGTGTGATCAAAACAGAACAAAAGTGATAGTTGGGTGATTAAATATGTAGTTCACCCTATATTCTATTAAAATAAAATAAAAGTGAAATAGCCAGGTGGCAGCAGAAGACAGGACCATTGCTCGTGCATTGACGGCGTCGCGTTTTCGTCTTCGTTTTCTCACGCGTCTCTTACTACCTTTTCATCTCTACATAACCCCAACGAGGGCTGTTCTTGGAACCCATCTTCATACCATTTTTCCATAGAGAGAGTTTCTTCTTCGCTGCCGTGGAAGGTTTAATTTTCAATTCTGCAAAAAAAAGAAAAGCTTTTCCCGCAGCGGCGTTGAAGTTTTGTCAATCCAAAGAAGAATACATAAATGGCTCGCCCTTCCTCTAACGCTAAGCTTTTCTCTGCTTTCCTTGTTGATGGAATCTCTAACGTTGTCTCCAGGTACCCACAACTTCTTTTTCTTTCATTTCCATGGCTATGTTTTTCTTTCTTTTTTTACAGAAGACGGATAAATATTTTAATGATGTTATGTTTGTTTAGACGAGGATATGCGGCGGCATCATCACAAGGGATTGTGTCGAGTGGAATAAGAGGAGGAGCAGGGAGGAGCTCGGCGGCGGCGAAGGAAGAGATAGCAGGCGGAGCTAAAGAGAAGGTTTCATGGGTACCCGACCCAGTTACCGGTTGCTATAGACCCGAGAACTCTGCTAAGGAGATCGACGTGGCCGAGCTCAGAGCCATGCTGTTGAAGAAGAACTAAATGAAAGATTAAACATATATAATATATTTAGTGCAAAAAAGCTAGCCTGTTAACAAGGTTGGTTCCAGTGTCGACGAAATAAAGAGTTTTCCTTGGCTGGAGAAACCCTGATACTTCTTACGCTCTTCTTTGTCGACGAAATAGATTTGACGATGTAATATCTCATCATTATAAATTTTACTCTCTTTTTCTTTTTAGTTCCACTCTATTGTTAATCCCAATGTTTTTAAAGTCGGACCGGACATTGAACCGGTGAAGTATTGATTCAATCGGGATCAATCACAGTTGAAGCGGATTTTATATAAAATAATTTTTTTTTAATTTTACATAATATTCAAAGCAATATTAATATATATGTAACACTTTTTTTAAGTTTACAATATTAAAAGGCATAAAAATATCACAAGTCATAACATATATAAATTAAAAACCATAAAATCAAGTGAAACAAAATGATTTAAATCAACTACAACATAATATTTAAGGTAAAACATATTAAATAATAAATATAATTATATAAGTATAATCAAAAAAATAAAATTGGGGCTTAAAAAAATCATAACAAATGATGTCATTTGGTTTAATTAAAAAAAATAATCCAACATGGCTAAGAAACATAGAAGAGCATCCCAAAAGTTTAAAGAGTAAAAATATGAGAACAAAACAATTCCACATGACTAAGAAACATAGAAGAGCATCCCAACTTACTTCTATAAATAATAGAGGTAATTTGACATTCAAAATCATAGAGTCTTTTGGTGAGCACAGAGCGAACTATTCTTTTGCTTCAATTGAGTTCAAATTTTAGGCTTCAATCGAACTTCTAAATTTTTTTTGAGTTCGAGCCTTTTCGAGTTCAAGTTTTAATATTATATTTTGAGTTCGAGTTGAACTTGATAATTTTTAGCTCGTGAGTTTTTGAGTTGAGTTGAGCTTACTTTTAAAGTTTTCGAGTTTGAGTCGAGCTCAGCAATACTTGAATTTGACTTGGCTCGTTGAACAAACGACGTCGTTTGGTTTAATTTTTTTAAAAGAAAAAAAGTGAACCGACGGTTCAAACTGGTTCATTGCCAGACCGATTTTGTGAGGTAACCGGACCGGACATGCCACCGGTTCACGGTTCAACCGGTTGAATCGACCGGTCCGGTCCGGTTTTGATAACCATGGTTAATCCATCTTTCTTGTTGCATGACATGAGCTGGTTGGGTTAACTTAATAAAAAAATAAGATAAATAATGATTTTGAAAAAAAAAAATTAAAGAATTAAAGTGAATTTTTTAGTAAATATTAAAATTGTTGACAATTTTACTCAATTTTAATAGTCGGTAGTTGTCAATCATTTTATTCTAATTTTTCTTTTTCAATTTTATGATTAGACTGAAAGAAATTAAAAGTATAATGATTAAAATTAAAAAATAGAACTTGAGGTAAATGGAATGTCTAATGTGTTATTCAATTATGATTCTATTGTAAAATTCAAATATAACTTAATGTTCAAGTGTCTGTTGGGGATGATTTTTTACTTAACTTTTAATTTTGAATTTTTGGATTTTTATCGATAATTTTAGAATTTGATTTTGTTTTATTTTAATCATTCATACTTAAAAATAGATTTTTTTTATCTCAAAATAATATGCTAACAAGCGAAATCGAGTTTATAAGGATGTTTCAACCTTATTTAATTATAAGAGCGATATTGAATTTACCAAAATCTCTATAGATGGAATGTTACCACTGTCATAATGTTTCCTGCGGGGATCCGTTAGACTAAAAAAATTAATTTCTCAGAGAAGGAGATAAAATGTGATTTGGAAAATAGTTTAATTTTGGAGTCGCCACCAACCATTAAGTTAGGTAGGTTGGAAACCTTAAACGTCAAAAAAATGGTATGCATTTTACCAAAGATTCGTTTTTGAAGAGTTCGGAAGTCGGTTACGTGTGGGGAAGGGTTAGCACCCCACAACGCCCAAATTTTGGTACCTAAACGATTATATATTGTTTAAATATTGGAAATTACAAACTCAAAAATATATTTAAATTATGATTCTTTTATTCATTTGATTTTATTCAAAACATGTCAATTTTCAGATAATTAATGTCATTTTGTGTGAACAATCTTCGGGAATGCACGTCCTTTGTAGTTAGGAGACTTTCCCATGGATTCCCCTCACAAAAGAAGTTGTTTCATAATTTTTCACAAAAAATAAGCTAAAATGAAACAAGATAAAAAAAATGAAAAGAGGTGAAAAATAATTGAAATAAATAAACGTGGAACAAAGAAAATTATCGAATACAACACAAATATTTATGCAAAAAAATCCTCATAAAGACACCTTCCCTTGTAGTTGGGAGATGTCTTCGTAGATTTGTCGCACAATGAAATTTTCCATTTTTATTTATACATACATGAAATTATAACGATCGATAAAACAAAGTTACAAATTTAGACCAATATACACATTTACAAACATTATAAATTAAAATACAAATAAAAATTAGACATGCTTAGTAAAATAAAGGACTAAATAGTAATAACAGAAAGTTAAAGGACTAAAATAGAAAAAGTAGAAACTTAAATGACTAAAATAGCAAAAGTAGAAACTTAAAAAAACAAAATAGCAAAAATAGAAACTTATAGGACTTAACCAGTAAATACAACAAACCAGAGCCAAGATTAAAAATATTAAATAATGTAGGTACTAGAAATGTAAATAACCCATTAATAATATAAAGGACCAAAATGCAATAAATCAGAAACATCAAGGCCAAATCAGAATTAAGCCAAATGTAAAACAGTGACTAAAATAACAGATTTACAAATGTCATAGCCAAATACAAACATAAAAAAATATCATAACTCATGAAATCAGTGACTAAATCATAAATATTGAAAAATAAATGCCCAAAGTAAAATATCATACATTTTTATTAATGACCAAAATAATAGATTACAAACAAAGAGGGGCCTAGACCGCTATTATACCCTAAACCAAAAACGTGGAGGGGGCAAAACGGTGACGTTTTGCTTATGGTATAAAAGCCCGATCCTAGGCCTTTCTTCTTAACCCTTTATCATTTTCTCATTCACCTCAGCAAATAGAGAGAGAACGAGAGAGAGAATTCTCTCAACTTCCCCCTCGCCAGGGAAGAAAGGGCTCACCGCCTCCGGTGGAGCCCTTAGTGACGCACGACGACCGAAGAGACCCAAACGCACTAAAACCACCCTCTCTTCACCCTCAACTCAAAAATCTCCTCCACCTAACCTAAAACCGCCCATAAAGCCCCAGATCTAACTTTTTACCTTTTAAAAAAAATGAGAAACCAATGACCCTTCGGCCTCATGGTGAACTTCGAACCAAGGTATGATTCTTTTCTTTTCTTTTTTTTGATATTTGCTTTGATTTTTTTTCTTTGCTCTCTTTTTTTCCGAACCTATTTGAAGCTTTTTCTTTGATTTTTTCCTCGGTTCCCTCTCTATTTTCCCCTAAATGACCCCTTTGATATATTCTCTTGTATGTGATATAATGGTGATAATCCCCTCGAGATTTCTTTCTGGCATGTTTAGATTTGTTTTCTTTTTTTATTTGGATTGTTGATAAATTACTGACTGATTCGGTCACTGTAGGTGAAATGACGTCAAAAATCCCATCGGTGGCAGGAGCAACAGGCGGCGGCAACGACGTCACGTCTTTATGGTTAGGGTTTTAGAAACCCTAGTAGTCAGATCAAGTTAAGCTGGGCCTCGGGTCTAATCCGAGTAACTTGGTCTCCTGTTAGTCTTGGTTGCTGAGTGGACTGTTAGGTCTCCACTTGGGCTTCAGGTTTGGGCTCGTATCGGGTCATCTGGGTCTTCTGGGTTTAGGGTGATAGTTGAGTGTTGTTTTGGGTGATTGTAATTGTTTGGGCTCCCTTTGGGCCAAATGTGTAATCTGCAAAAAATATAAATACGATAATTAATAATAATACTAATAATATAAAAATAGTATTTTTGTATACCTGAACAAAAATGGGTGTCTACAACTGCCCCTCTTTGCACATTCTTGTGTTAACAACAATAGGGAAAAGACGAAAAAGACAACCAATTTTTGTCAGATTTTCTTTTTTTGGTTTAAAATTTGATGTGTTTATTGTTGGGGACAACACGGCTCATATGCGATAAATATGGCTGGTCGTCTAAAGGTGATACAAATCTTACGTGATGAGGAGATCTGGTCGGTAGATGACATGACTCATACATGATGAAGAATTCTGGCCATCTTTAGGAATGGTGATAACACGGTTCCTATGCGATGAGGACAGCTAGTTATCTAGGGGTGACACGGCTCCTACGTGATGAGGAATTCTGGTCGGGGATAACACGGTTCCTACGTGATGAGGATGACATACCATATTTAGGAATGATAACACGGTTTCTACTTGATGAGGATGGATGGTTATCAGGGGTGACACGACTCCTATATAATGAGGAGGTCTGGTCGGGAGATGACACGGTTCCTATGCAATAAGGACGGCAGACCATCTTTAGGGATAATGGTTACAAGGGAAGCCGACTCAATTATGATGTTTCAAGATAAACAGACTCAAAGACTTTTGTTTCAAGAGAAACAGACTCAAAGATTTTCCTTCAAGATAAGTTGTCTCAATAGACAAAATTTGTTTCAAGGGAAACAGTCTCAAAGATGGTGTTTCAAAAGAAACTATCTCAAAGGAGACAAAATTCGTTTCAAGGGAAACGATCTCAAAGATCTTGTTTCAAAGAAACAATTTCAAAGTTTATCTTAAGGAAGATTATCTCAAGTGAGACAAAATTTGTTTTAAAGGAAATAGACTCAAAGATTTTGCAAGAGAAACAATTTCAAAGTTTGTCTTAAGAAAGACTATTTCAAGTGAGGCAAAGTTTGTTTTGAGAACAACAACCTCAAGTGAGATCAACTTTGTTTCAAGTGAAACAAACTCGAACTTTGTATCTCAAAGGAAAATGTCTCAAGTGAGACAAAATTTGTTTTGCGAAAAAAATTGTCTCAAGCGAGACAAAAGTGGTTTCGA